TGAATTCCTTTCGCTAAATGTGAAAAAATTATTAATGGCTTCACCGATCGCCAAAAATACTTTGGAGTAAGCTACGCTGTTAAGAAACTCATGTATAAGCAGTGTATTGTACCTTTCATTTCGTACGGCTGTCAGCTTGGGGACTGTTCTTGCCAAGAGGTTAACAAAAGAATTAAGAAAGATTCAACGGAGAATTCTTCTTTGTATTTTAGTGGTTAGAACCTTAGCGATGAGGCTACTTTTGTTCTTGCGGGGAGTTCCGCGTATTGATTTTTGAAATTGCATATAAGATAATTTTTCGAGTCATTGGCAACTATGCTTTGAAGACTGTATTAATGGAATTGTCCCCTTTACTGATCTTCCCATCCCGCTACTTTAGAACCCATAAATTTGTGCTTATAAAGAGATGTTGAAATAGTTATATGGTTTTCTTTACAGATGGCAGCAAAGAACAACAAGGTTAGCCTTGCATGGTTCTTTTTGAAGGCCATTCCGAGTTTGTTTTTTTAGATACGTATACGGAATGATGCCAGTTTTTCAAGCAGAACGTCTGTGCATTTATCTTGCCGTCAAATGGGGCAGGATAATGAAACAACTCCTCAAAGTACCTATTTGTTCTGATTCTCTTTCTTATTTTCAACTTTTGAACAGATTACAGCTGCATAAATTAGTTATTGAAACCCTAGACCTGTTAGTTCACTTAGAATTAGAGGTATTGATATCTGCTTTGCTTATGGCTCGCTCATCATGGTTCTCGAAATGAAAAAGAGTGATTTCTCAGCTAAAGATGCCTTAAATTTACCCATTGATTACACATTAGCATTCAAAGAGTATTGGATGTCCTTTCATATAAAAGCTTTTAGCTATGTGGAATGAGGAAGACATTTCATTGTAATGCTGAAGTCACCAAAAAGTTCCTTCCTTCTATTTACCATAGATTCGAATTCGAGTCTTTCCTATCGTAATTTTAAAGTGTCTCGTTTTATTGGTCACAGTAATTTGCAAGTTACTGTGTTTATCTACGATCAAATTCGTTTTAATCTATGATCAAATTTGTTTTAATCTACGATCAAACAATTTATGTGAATGTTCAAAAAGAGTTCTTCAGGATGTGGAACATTTGATGGCCCTAGATTATGCTTACAGAATGATTTGAAAATGTTCGGAGTAACTTGGCCAGTGAACTTATCTGTTTTCGTGAAGTCCAGACTGCATTTCTCTGCTTTTGTTCACTATATTTATGGATGTAACTTTTAATGTTTATTTATGCATGTAAATTTTAATAATGTTTTAGTTAACTTACTTGTAAGCCCCATGTTGTACATATGTGGTGCATGGGGCGTCTGTATGTTCTCTGTAAGAAAAAAAAAAAAAGAAACAAAAATGCGCATGCTACAATAAACATAGGCAATGAACAATGATGCATTTCTGATGCTGCTAAAAGTGATAAAATTACTAACAATAGTTTAATTCATTTGAAAATAAATGTCTTGTTATTTCTGAAATGAAATGCAAAATAATTAAACATTTCCCCCCCAAAATTTCATATAATGAAATCTTTAATCTGAATAGAAGTTCAATAGTGTTACATACAGAAAAAAATATAATACTAATAATGAAGCAAAAAATCTGTTTTTTCTGCCAGTTTTCTCCACCAAGGAACAAACTTGAGAATCCTGTTGAGAATACACCACTTTCAAAATCTTACTTTATACTGATGCCATGTACAATACATTAAATCTTGTATGCATCACTTCTTGAAGGATTCTCTTCACAAGAACTATGTAATATAATTGAAATTAAAGTTCAGCAAACCTTGGAGCAAATTCCCTTCTTTGAGAAATAATAATAATTAAAAAAAACATCAAAAATTAGGAAATAAGTTACCGTATGCAACAGATGGTGAGAATACACCATTTTCAAAATCTTACTTTATACTGATGCCATGTGCAATACATTAAATCTTGTATGCATCACTTCTTGAAGGGCTCACTTCACATCAATTATGTAATATAATTGAAATTAAAGTTCAGCAAACCTTGGAGCAAATTCTCTTCTTTGAGAAATAAAAAAACATTAAAAATTAGAAAATAAGTTACCATATGCTACAGCAAAAACTTTTGGTTCAATACTCTCTTTTTACACCAATTTAAATTAAATTTTGTAATTTAATACATTTCTAAAACTTAGTTTGTTTTCCATTCTTTCAAAACCATTCTGCTTTATTGCTATTTTGGTTACTGATATGAAATGAAATTCAGTTTCAGAATCTGACTAAATTCACAGACATGAAAGCAGGATCCATACGACAAATTTCATAAATACGATGGAAAATAATTTTGAAGCAGAACTTTAAAAAAATAAAAAACAAAAAATTATGATACAGCAAGCATTTTCAATTTATATTTCATATTACCAGAGATTACTTTCTCTAATATTTCATTTATTTCCATCAAAATTTGGAAATTTTCCTTCTGGGAAAATACGCCTGAAGATGAGGCCAACAAATCCAAAATAATTTTATGAACCTGATTGATTTTTGTTAATAAAAAACCTTCAACTGGATATTTCAAAAGCCTGCACTGATTTGTGAATTCTTTTAACCAGTTAATAAAATATTCAGAACTGAAAGGCATAGAAGAAGGTATCACACTTGCTATAGTAAGATTCTGAAGCATGAGTTGATTCTGATTTCCAATCCATGGATTCTGAAACATACTAAACACTGTTTGACATTGATTGCTTACATCAAGAGGAACATTTTGTTTCACATCAAGAGGAAGCTTTTGCACCTCAGGCTTCACATCAAAAGGAAAATCTGGCAGCTCAGGTTTCACATCAGTGTTGTTATTTACAGCTACTTTTAAAATTTGCCTCGTGACAGACTTTTCATCTTCTTCTCCACTTTCAGATACATTTTGAAATAATGCATCAGAACTGGTATTTTTAATAATGTTTTCTCTCACATCAAAAAATTTCTTTACTGGAACATTTATTTCCTGTTTGGGGGTTTCAAACAAATTTTTTATTCTGGAATAATCAGGACTTTTTCTAACGACAATATTGCCATCAGGTACATTTTCATCCTCTTTCTGAAGGACATGCTCAATTTTATGCATTTCATTTTCAGCCTGCTTATTTCCAGCAATTTTTATTTGTGTTTTCTTCCTGTGCATTTGCTCAATGTGATGTCTTAAAGCTGCAAAATTCTTAAAAGGCCGTTTATCACAAAGAAGACATAATGGAGCATGATTTTTTACATGTCTACTTCTAGTGGCAACATCTGGAAAAGTTTTGTCACACAAGACACATGGGTATGGCTTTATGCTACTATGAGTAAGCAGATGTCTATTTAACAGAGCTAAATGAGTAAATTTTTTTTTACAATTATTACAAACAAATGACTTTGGCTCTAACCTTTTATGTGTTTTCAAATGCACTTGAAAGTATTTCTCTGTTTTGAAACTGTCCAAGCAAATTCGGCATTCATATGGATGAGGTCCGTCGTGTGTTTCTAAGTGCTTCGTGAACTTCCAATGCCGTCGAAAAGATTCAAGACAATATTTGCATTTGTATTTGTTTTTTCTTTCATGCTTTCCTGAATGTTGCTCCAGAGCAGCAAGATTCGGAAATTCCCCGCCACAATCATCACAATATATTGGTTCTGCATCTGCAACAAACAGATGTAAATTAATACCTATATATTAAAGATGAATGAATTAGATCACCAGAAAACCACTGTTGAAGAGATTTAAAAATTATTAGATAAAAATTTTTAACAACTTTTTATTTTTACACAACCCTTGTATACTACATACTACTTCAATAAAAGTTTTAAATTATTACAAGAGGAATTTTACCAAGATGTTTTTTTTTTTCCAGGCTATCTAACATTTATATTCTAATTAATGCATATGAATTTCTAAATTGATTTTAAGTATACTTCTCAGCCATTAAGAGCAATACATTTTAAACAAACTCTTTATTTTTTTTCAAAAGTACTGAAACGATATGAAATTAATTGTTCTTTTGATATCATGTGTGTCATGCATCTCTCTAGAATCAGCCAATCAGCTTACATTGCCAGCAAGAGAGACACACAGTTAATGGAAGTTTGAATTTGCTTGTAATAACTTCTGTAGGGTGTTTGCACCTGAGTTTGAGTTTGGTTTTTAACTATTGTGTCTGGTATAACTTTGCAAATGCATAGACCAATATACAAGAAAATGTTATTGCAAAAAAGCTAAAAGCATTTCATAAGAAACTGCAAATTTCACAACCATCTAACTACAATAGATTAGCAAATCTATATGCTCTCCCAAAATTTCATAAATCACCACTCAAATTTAGATTTATTGCTAATGGTACAAAAGGTTATAAAAAGAATATTGATTACATATTTGCAATTAAAATAAAAAAAAATCTGCAATTTAATCCAAAAACTCGTTAACAAACAACACAATTATAGTTGGATTATTTATAATAATGCTCCAGTTCTCAACAGATTTAAAAGTTTAAAAATCAAGAACATTAACTGCTATGACTTTTCTTTTACTAATAAAGGGCCAACTCTTTTCAAAAGTCTCAATTATAGCCCGAATTGAGTGAAGATTTTAATCTTCTTCTAATTTTCCATACTTTAGCCAGTATTTAGTAAAGTTTTGATATACCACTTGAAATCAAGTTTATTAAACTTTCAATATTTTCTTTCTTTAAATATAGCTTTTAATTAACTTTTTTAAGGAATTTTTGGGAGATTTCTAGGAAATTTCTGGGAATTTTTTAAAAAAAAATGTGTATTAAAAAAATTTGGGGAATTTTTCTAAGACATTTTAAGACCTTTTTTAAATTTTAAATTTTACTTTAAAACTTTTTTAAAATTTTAAAACATTTCAGTTTTAATTAATTACTTTTTAATTATTTGTAATTTTCACAAAATTTTTTTTTACTTAATGTTATTATTTGCAATATTTACACAATTTTGCAACAGAACACACATTTCACATTACAAACAAGTTTACATTTATTAATTCACAATAACCACTTAACTCTACTTTACTTCAATTAGTACTCTTTTTGATATTTTGCCAAAGCAAACTTACATCTCTTGATTGGTTCAGCTACTAAACTCCCTACCATAAATAGTTGATTAGTTAAAATTAAAACTTGAATTACATATTTTTAGGATATTTAATTTTTTCTAGATTTATATTATTTAAATATTTTAATATTAAAGTTTACAAAAATTTTTTAATAAAACAAAGATAGCAGCTTGGCATTCAACTTTACTTACATAAGCGCCATCTATATAATTTGCAGAACACACTTACATCACTTTGGAAATACTTTTGCAGATCCCAATGCTAATATATTAGGTAAGTTAGAATTAAAACTTACTATTTACTTGCTTTAAATATTTTTTATGTAGTATTTAAGTATTTTATATGAATATTTATATTCTATATATATGAATATATATATATATTATAATTCTATGAATTTTTATGTAGTATTTAAGTATATGAAATTATATTTTTAAGTATACATTTGTTTTTTATAAATTATGAATTAGTTCTTTTTGTTTCTTATTGCTTTACATAAATTTCTAGTTTCTTTTTATTGATATGCATATTCATGTCAGGGAGGTTTCTGTAGACAAGGGTTTCTAAATTAATTTTTCTGAAAATGTTTTTTTAATTTAATTTTTTTAAAAGTTTAATTTAATACTAGACTTTATATTGCTTATTTCTCAAAAAACTTCATTGGTATTTTCCTTTTAGAACTTTAATTTTTAATTGCTAATTTCTAAAGGTACCACTTTATTGGTATTTCTTTTTAGACATTCTTCACTCTTTCTTTTGGTTTTGACTTTTACCCTTGCCTGCATGAATGACGAAACACGAATTGAATGATTGAAGAGTTAGGTTTGGAGGCAACTTCCCCTTGATAAGTCTGTCTCCTGCCTGCTCAACAGTCATTCACTTATGCATTTTTAAAAAAATTTTTAGATTAATTTTAATTTGCTAAATTGGTGAATTTATTTTCAAGGTTTGGTTTTGCACTTGATTTACTTATGCTATCTGAATTTAAATGATATTGTAGATTAGTTTCGAAAATTAAATCTTTTATATGTTTGCACATTTTTTAATTATTTTAACTTTAAATTTGCTTTTTTACGTATATACATGTTTGTTAAAATTTAAATCTGTTTAAATATATATATATATATATCAAGCCGTGAAAAAAAGGTTTTGTATTTTCTCTCAGCCATCCCATGCATTTTTCTTAACTGTGCAAATATGAATAAATTGCAGTTGCCTTCTATTTTTATTCTTTCAGCCTCTTTTTTACAACTAACTATAAAAATGGTCTATGAGATTCGTGTTTGAGCATTCTGCAGAAAAGCATTAATACCAAAGCAGTTTCTTTAATCACAGTCTGAGTAATAATCATATATAATAGCCCTTTGGCCCATAAATATAGCTGAAGGGTGGAACACAGTATCTTCAGCATCCCCTAAATATATGAAGGCCATAGTGTGTTTCCGTTTTATATGTATACACTTTGTTTTTCTCTTTCATCAAAGCTTGTATGTGGTATACACATGCTGTGTAACCCAAATGTAACAGGAAATATTCCAGTGCTCCCAAAGTGCAGGGAAAGAAATGTTAAACAAATGGACTAATGCTATTCACAGGGGGAAAGAAAAAAAAAATATTTGCCAATAAAATTTTCAGTCTTTTTTTCATGAATGAGATTATATTTACTCGTATTAAAAAAAAACGCTTCTAAAATACAATTAGCCTGAACTACAGCAAATATGTATATTTATAAAAAGTAAATACATTTAATCTTGCAATAATAAATATATTAGTAATTGTAATATAACTATTATGACTTATTACATACTATTTATTTAATTTATAACAGATAGTATCATTTATAATTATGTCATTATAATTATTAATCATTTAATCTATAGCAGATATAGAACTACTGTAAGTTAAACAATAGTGTGATTTTACTGTAAATTAGGGTTAGATTAAATATAGGACTACGGAAAATTCATTTGCTAAACAGTAATATTCAACATTCATCATTATTCCTTTGTTTAACCAAACAGTTCATTTATTAAACCGCTGGTCATGCATGTGCTCGGTTGGATAGAGCAACTGACACAGCCCTACTGGAGAGACTGGCGAGGCAAACCACACTGAGCTGAAAAGAAAGAAGGATCTGAGAAGAGGTGGTGATGGAACGGCAGCATGCTCGCTGTGGCTTCAGAACTTTTTACAGTTTGAATTAAGTCATTATATTTATTTTTTTAGAGAGTTCTGTTAAACTGAATGATGACATTATGTTTAAATCTTGAAATGCTTAAAGCTACTCTGTAAGAAATATATTACACATAAAAAGTGTAATATATTTTTTGTTACTTTGAAATTTGCAGGAATTATGCAGTTTCTTCCTTTGTTTGAGGATATATATCGTAAGTGGATGAAAGATGAACTGTATAATTGAATCATCCTAACATGGGAATAACTTAAAATGGTCAGAAAGTTCCATGACAAGTGGTAGCAGAGTTCAAATTATATTTTAACAGGAAATAAAATTTGCAAATTGTATCGGAGGTGGAAGATCTAAATGTGAGTCACAGGTTACACTTGGAAGAAGCATAATCTACTACATGTGTAATCCAATTAAGAGTGTGTAATATTTCAAAGTGGTTTTAGTTGCAGTGTCATTTCTTGGAATAAAAAATAAATAAAAAAAAATGTGTGTGTGGAAATCAACAAAAGGTGCATGTCTTAACAGCATGCAGTGCTTCAAAAAATGTGTACACAGTGTCAAATTTGTGAACTGCAATCAATTAGCGCTTCATGTTGCTAGTTTAAAAGAACTCCAGAAAGGATTAAGCATGATTTAATTGGCAATAATAAATGAAGGCGTTATCTTTGTTGTTGTGAAGCTAAGTTTCTCTAGATTGGCAACAAATCCACTAGTCTGCTGTTTCAAATGTAAACAATCAATGGCCGCCATAAAAAAAAGGCTTAGCAGCACTTCAACAACTTTAAAATTGTTGATAATTCTAAAAATATTGCAGGAGAGTTTTTACATTAAAATCAAAAAACTAATTTGTTCTCATAGTAGTTTTGGGAAATTGTTTTTTCTTAGCGAAAACCCTGGCCGCTCAGAAGGTTAAGTCTTAAGTGCTTTTATCTAATTATATATATATATATATATATATATATATATATATATATATATTAGGTTTAGATGATATATAGATTTAATGCATCTTTTATATTTTTAAAATTCAAAATTAATTAATTATTTAATTTAATGTATAACTTGCTAAAAGGATATTCAGTATTATTTTTTAAAAGTAGTATTCAGTATTATTTTTTAAACGTGGAGTATGTTGAACACAAATTTCTCATAATGTCATTTTTAATTAAATCTAGAAACATCTAATCTAATTGGCTTTGTAAAAGAGTTTGATGTTAAAGTGTTATCCGAGTTCAGAATTTTGGGCTTAATGCAAAAAATTCTTGCTGGTGAAAGCTATGAGGGGCAAGCAGCAAAGGATCTTCTAAGTGTACCATTGCAGATGGGGGAGACAAAGAAGGAGAAGGAAAGGTAAGAAAAGTAATATAAATTAAAGGCGGA